AAGGTGAGAAATATGACAGCACTAATAAGGTAGCACACATATATTTATGGAGAGTTTAAAAATATCAGTAATATTATATGCAGAAAGTATTTTCTTTAAAATTGACTCAAGATGAGGTAGAAATCTGCATAGTCCAATACACATAGCAGGAAAATGAAAATCTGGTCCAAAACCTCTCTTTAAAACAATACTTAGGGCTTCCCTGGTGGCGCAGTGGTTGAGAGTCTGCCTGCCAATGCAGGGGACACGGGTTTGTCCGTGGAAGATCCGGGAAGATCCCATATGCCGCGGAGCAGCTGGGCCCGTGAGCCATGGCTGCTAAGCCTGCACGTCTGGAGCCTGTGCTCCGCAACAGGAGAGGCCACAACAGTGAGAGGCCCACGTACCCCCCCCCCCCACAAAACAATACTTAAATATCAGGTAAAAACTAAGGATAATCTCTAAAAGAATTTTACAAGCTCATACTAGAAGTCTGAACACTGGATCAAGATAGTTTCTAAAAGATCTAGATGAGCTTAGGAATATTAATGCAAATATTCTAAGGAAAATATTAACAAAATGAAACCAAACATGGAGGAAATCATGACTTGAGAGGCAGAACTTTTGTTTTGCCTATCAGTCACCATTCAGAAATTGACATAATCGTACCACATGATTGCACTCTATTTCCAGCTCTTTAAGCAAGATGCATCCAAACTCAAGAATTTAAAAGGAAAAAAAAAAAAAAAAAAAAGCAGTACCAGTTAAGATAGTTAGCATATTCCACCCTGCCTCTCCCACTGAACACAACTAAAATCATAGACAGAATGGACGAGGCAGCTGAGAAAACTGAAAAGTAAATGTTAGCAGACAGACTGAGAAGGAAACCAGAAGTTGGAAGTTTGATCTGGTGGTGTGCTGGTCTGGACTGAAACAACCTGAATCCCAAAACTGTGAGCCAAACTTGGATGGAAAGAGCTCCATAAGAAACTCTCTATAGTTGGAAGAGTGGGAGAAGGGGTTTTTGTGGAGCAGAGAAGGTGGAAGAAATCCATGTTGTTTTTCTTTTCTTTCTGGTCTCACTGCAGGCAAACACTAGTCCTGAAAGCTGCAGTCCTGGATTGGGTAGGTGGTGGTAGCAGCAGCTGCCAGCAAATACTTAAACCCTGAGGAAAGGGAATCCTATCTTACTAGTGGAAGTCTGTTCTGAAGCAGGTGGAGGAAATCCCATTGCTTTTTTCCTCTTTATTCTCTCACTCATTGGCACTGGAAGAAGACCTAGCTGTGGGAAGGCCACAGCAGAATGGGAAGGCTAAATAAAGCCCTGTTGCTCTAACTAGATCCAGGAAGTGGGCCTCTGGGAACTAAAGAGTTCTCCTGAGATAGGGGAGAGGAGCAACTCAAGTTAGGGATCCCTTAAAGTATTATTGAACTCGAGGGTGCACATGTGTAGATCTGACACTAGGCAGCATACCAAAGGCCTTGAGAACTGAACCAGGTGGACCATCAACCAGGTCTCAGAGTGGGTACTGGGTGAAGCACATAAAAGATAATGCACACTGAATTCCAATTTTCAAATGCTTTGAAAACTGAATTGACATTGGAACCCCAGGGCACAGAAAGTAGTTTGGAACTTGCATATTGAATCTAAATAAACTGCCTGCTAAGACAAACAAACCTAAATTATGTTTCTCATAGGATTTAAACTAGACTCAGAGAATCAAATTATTCAAAATGTCTAGGAAACAATAAAAATGTACTCCACATACAAACAAACAGGACAATTTTAAAACTCACAATGGAAAAGAAAAAGACACCAATACTGACATGATCCACATTAGAATTAGAATCATGTTCCAAGAAGTAAAGGTGAACTCTTGAGTGAATATCTAAGCAGAGAAACAGAAGCTATAAAAAAAGAACCAAAAGGAAATTAAACATATAAAATTTTTATTATATAATTTTCAGATGTATAAAAGGAAATTTTAGAACTGAAAAAGTGAAAATTAGAACTTACTTGATGGGCTCAGCAACAAAATGGAGTGCCATGAAGAAAAAAATATTTAAAGAATCAATGGTTGAAAACCTACCAAGTTTGGTAAAAGACCTTAAAATTACAGATTCAAGAAATATAGCATACCACAAAAAGGATAAACTAAAAGAAACCTTTGCTGAGACACATCATAACCAAACTGCTGAAAATCAAAGAAAAAAATCTCAAAAGCTTCCAGAGAACATTGATGCATTACATATAGGAGAACAATCCCTTAATTCCCATCAGAAAGTATGAAGGCCAAAGGATAGTGCAACAACATTTTTTAAGTGCTTTAAGGAAAGACATGTCAACCCCAAACTTTATCCAGTGAAAATTATCAGGAATGAAGGGTAAATAAAAGATATTCTTAGCTGTGACAGGGCGAGAGAGAGTCATGGACATATACACACTAACGAACGTAGTAAGGTAGATAGCTAGTGGGAAGCAGCCGCATGGCACAGGGATATTGGCTCGGTGCTTTGTGACAGCCTGGAGGGGTGGGATAGGGAGGGTGGGAGGGAGGGAGACGCAAGAGGGAAGAGATATGGGAACATATGTATATGTATAACTGATTCACTTTGTTATAAAGCAGAAACTAACACACCATTGTAAAGCAATTGTACCCCAATAAAGATGTTAAAAAAAAAAAAAGATATTCTTAGGTAAAGGGAAACAAAGAGGATTTGTTACTTGCAGGCTTGCTGTAAAAGAAATGCTACATGAAGCTCTTTAGATGCAAGGGAAATGATATCAAAGAAAAACCTGAAACTTCAGAAATAAGTAAAGAGCAACAGAAATGGCAAATTGCTAAATAAATAATAAAATTATTGGTTTTAAAAAATAATTTAAATATTTACTGTGATAAAAAGCAAGGAGTATAACACTTTCTGATGAAGTTTGTAATGGATGTAGATATAGTAAATATGATAATCATAATATAAAGAGGGGAGGCTGAAAGGGACAAATATGGTGGTAATGTTTCCATATTCAACATGCAGTACTAAAATGTTAAAAGTATATTGTGAATTATATATATTATGTGTATTATAATCCCCGGAGGAACCACTAAAGAAAATAAACAAAGAAATAGTAAAAAGCTAAATAGATAGATTAAAATGGAATAATAAAATATATTCAAATGAAAAAGAAAGCAAGAAAGGGAAACAGAGGAATTAAAAATAGAAGGGAGACACAGGAAAGAATGTTAGAGCTAAAGCCCAACAATATCAGTATATATACATTAAATGCAAATGGTTTAAAACCAGTAATAAGACATTGTCCAACTGGAATTTCTTAAAAACCCCAACTATATGTTGTCCGTCATAACGTGGCCTTAATATACATATATAATACACATATATATTGTGGGTTTGGCTCCAGACCACCACAGTAAAGCAAATATTACAATAAAGTGAGTCACATGCATTTTGTGGTTTCCCAGTATGTCATGTTTATACTATAAAAGTTATGTTCATACTATACTGTAGTCTACAGTAAGTGTGCAATAGCATTGTCTAAAAAAGCAATGTACATACCTTAATTTTAAAATACTTTATTTCTAAAAAATGCTAACCATCATCCTAGCCTTCAGTGAGTCAAAAATCTTTTTGTTGGTGGAGGGTTTTGCTTCCAACTCACTACATACTCAGGAAAAAGAGGTAGGCTTGCATCCTTGGTTGTGAATGCAGTTCTTTTGGTAGTCGTCATATATTTTTACTCATCTACAAACACAGATTTATTCAAATGAAATAATTTCTAGGTTCTCATAACTCTGAATATAGATCCTGTAATCTTACCTTTTGTAACTATTTCATTCTAATATGTTCATCCTGCCTACACACTAGAAAAAAAACCTCTAAACATAAATAATAACTATTAGTTAAGGCTATATTTCTCAAAGTTCTGTCCATTCAGACATGGCATTTTATCTTTTATCGTACGTCCCTTTCAAGTCTAAATTTTTTTCATGTTTGATTTGCTTCATCACCCACTGTTCTTTTTCTGCTCTGAAATCATCTGCAAGACCAGGAATGACAAGCACGTTTCCATTTACAATCCACTGGCAGTTGGTGCCCCTTTCTATAGGCCAGACGGCCTGTTGTACATTTTTAATGTCAGATACTTGAACTATCAATTATTTTCCTACTTACTTAGATACAGTTTACAGTTCTACTGAATTGGGGGGAAAAACAGCTTATTTAAATTTCTACTGAATTTTATTACAATAACTTCATGTATGGTTGTGAATATTGCTTATGAATAATCCCCCTCAAGAAGGGCCTTTAGTAACACTGTTCAAATTGCTGTTGAGCTTACTATTTTCACAGAAAAGATGCTATAGATGGTATTATCTTAGATTTCCAACTCTCACACATCAAAATCTCCAGTGATTTCTCATTTGGGATTTTCGAGACCCACATTTCCTGTGAAATAAACCAAGGTATAAAAGGCTTACTTTACATAGGCTTATTATATTATATATAGGCTTACTTATATATATTTTTCATAATTCTATTAAAGGGAATAGACTCTTATACTCCCAAATTTTATTCATCTATGTTCCTTCTTAACCTTTCTTTAGTATAAATTCTTTGATGGTGAATAAGACATAAGCTATTGCTAAAAGTACCCCTATAATCACAACAACTGTAGGATGCCCTCCAATATGAATTCTCTGATTTTGTGTAAGGTTTAAGCCACAGCTAAGGTCTTTCTACATTTATTACATTCATATATTCATGACTAACAGCCTTCTCACAATTATAACATTATAAGGATTTCTTTTCAGTAGGAATTCTCCAGTTGAATGACACTTCTCCACTTGAATTACAGAGCTGTTACTCTCCAAATTGAATCATCTCACATTGAGAAAGGTCTGAGAGATGTTTGGCAGTATCTAATATAACTGAAAAAACTTTACGTACACCCTGGGACTGAGTAATCCCAGTCTTCGTATAAAATCAACAGAAATACACACACACACATATACAAGAATATTTATAGTAGTATTTTTATTACAACACAAAATTATAAAAAATACAAATATCCATCAAGAGGATAGATAAATAGCAGTATATTCTTAAAATGGAAGAGTATATAGAATGAAAATGAATACACTACTGCCACATGCAATAATGTATGAATCTTTAAAATGTTGAGTGAAACAAGACAAAAAATTTGTAATGTATAATAAAATATAAAGTTGAAAGACATGCAAAAACTATTTCATGTTAAAAGCCAGGGAAGTGGTAATCTTTGGGGAAGTAACAACTAACTTTTATTCCGCAGAGTGCAATGAGAAATATACTTCATAATTTCTTCCTCTTATGGAGACTGATACTTAAAACCACTTTGTATCTTGCTTCTGCATGTATTATATAAGAATTAAAAAAAATAAACTGAGTCAGCAGGAGAACTTGAAAACGTAAAAAATTAGCTTCATTGCTGATAAGAGTTCAATATCAATGATCATATCCATTTCATATGCTAGTAAACAGTAGATAAATAGTTATGTGGTATAGTATATTAAGTTAATAATTATTATTACATTTGTGATTAAAATTACCGTATTCACATGTTAAGCATGCTTTTTTAAAAAACTAAAGTTTTACAATAACTTAGAAAGGCTTCACAAAGAAATCACATCATTTATTACTGCATTACCATGTTTTCTCCCTTGTGAGTTCTTTGATGGACAATAAGGTTTCTCTTATAACTGAAGGACTTACCACACTCATTACAAATATAAGGCTTCTCCCCTGTATGAGTTCTCTGATGTACAATGAGGTTTGTCTTCTGGCGGAAGCACTTCCCACATTCATTACACTTGTATGGTTTCTCTCCTGTATGAGTTCTTTGATGATGAATGAGATATGACTTCCTGCTAAAGGCTTTCCCACACTGAGGGCATTCATAGGATTTCTGCCCTGTATGTATTTTCTGATGTACAGTGAGGGTTGCTTTCTGGCGAAAAGACTTCCCACACTCATTACAAATATAGGGTTTCTCTCCTGTATGAATTCTCTGATGTAGATTGAGATTTGTCTTCTGACTGAAGGATTTCCCACATTCATTACATTCATATGGTTTCTCTCCTGTGTGAGTTCTGTGATGATCAATGAGGTATGACTTCATTCTAAAAGCCTTCCCACAGTGAGGACATTCATAGGATTTTTCCCCTGTATGTGTTCTCTGATGTGCCACAAGGGTTGTCTTCTGGCGGAAGGATTTTCCACACTCATTACAAATATAAGGTTTCTCTTCATTATGAGTCTTCTCATGAAGAGCGAGGGTTGTCTTCTGAGAGAAGGATTTCCCACATTCATTACAAATATAGGGCTTTTCCCCTGTATGAGTTCTCTGATGTACAGTAAGATTTGCCTTCTGGTGAAAGGACTTCCCACATTCTTTACAAATATAGGGTTTCTCTCCTGTATGAATTCTCTGATGTAGGGAGAGTGTTGTCTTCTGGCGGAAAGACTTCCCACAGTCATTACACTCATATGGTTTCTCTCCTGTGTGAGTTCTCTGATGACGAATGAGGTGTGACTTCAATCTGAAGGCATTCCTACATTGTGGACATTCATATGATTTCTCCCCTGTATGTGTTCTCTGATGATCAGTGAGGGCTGTCTTTAGGCGGAAGGACTTACCACATTCATTACAAACAAAGGGTTTCTCTCCAGTGTGAGTTCTCTGATGATCAATGAGATATGATTTCCTTCTAAATGAATTTCCACATTGATGACATTGGTAGGGTTTTTCCTCTGTGTGAATTCCCTGATGCAGAATCAATACTGATTTCCTGCAGAAGGACTTCCCACATTCAGTGCATATATGCTTTTTTTCAATATTGGTTGTTCTCCTTTTATTATATTCAGATGGTTTTTCCCTTCTGTAAGCTCTATTATGTGTAATTAGGCCTCCTTTTTTAAGGAAGGATTTCTCACAGTCATTATATCCAAATGACTGTGCTGAAGTTTCTATCTCATGATATTGCATAATCATTTCATTATGACTGAAAGTCCTACCACACTGATTATGGGATTTGCCTCCAGAGTGAGCTGTCTCTGGCTTAGTATTGAGGAGTGATTTCCCATATCTATTATGCTCACTAAGTCTCTTTCTTGTAGGACTTAGATTACTGATGATTAATTCTGAAACATTTTTTAAAATCTTTCCATGAGTGTCATATTCAGGAGGTAGGTTTTTTGAATTAATAGGGTTTTTGCTTAAAGTAAATGTCTTTTCATATGCACTACTGTTCTCCTTAATCAGTTTATTGTGGTTGATTAATACAACTGATCTAGAAAATTTATCTTGTTGTTCCTTGAATTTCACTAAAAAGTCTTCAGCTTTCCACTTTTCTTCTAGGAAAGAATATAATTAATAACAATTTGTGAATTTTCACATATTTGCTATTGAAAGGAATTGTAATAGGGTCTAGTACATGAGGCCAAAAAAGACCAAGGACAAATTATTCCTTGCCTGGGAAAAGACATGGAACCTAAATTAAAAACTCTGCCTCAGTGTGGAAAAAGATGAAAAATAAGTAATGAACACTAGTAACATTTGCATTTTGCACCAGAACTTCATACAGAAAGTGAAACAAACACACGAAGCAGTAAGGAGAAGAGACAAAAGAATAGTGGAAGAGGAATTCATGCTTGGATAGGTGGATTCAGAGGCAATGAAGTGAACCTTTCAAGAGCATTAAGATTTAAGTAGGATGAACAAGAAAAATTAGCAGAAAAGTTTGTTCAGGGAAAATTTTAGAGGAAGGCATTTGGAGGACACAGATCAGAGCCTATACTTTTATTTCTTTATTTCTTTATGCCGCACCACGTGGCATGTGGGATCTTAGTTCCCTGACCAGGGACTGAACCCATGCCCCCTGCAGCAGAAGTGTGGATTCCTAACCACTGGATCACCAAGGGAATCCCCCTGAGCCTATGCTTTTAAATATTCATCCCTAGACTGTAAGGTAAAATACTTCCAGTTGTTCCACCACCCTCTTTCCACACACCCACCAATGAATCTTTCTAAGCATCAACTATTTTCCTAGTGTTTATAATCCTCTATATAGCTGGGGATCATTTTTTATTGTGAGGGAAATACTAGGAAAACACTTACAACAGGAACTTTAAAACAGACTAGGGGTATGTTCACTAGTGTATTCAGGTTGCTGTTGTTATTATTTTCTTTCAGAATTGTTCAATAACAAAACTCTCATGATCGTTAATTATAACTATTCTTCTTTTTAAGTGCTAACTTAGAGGTTTAAAGAAAGATTCAAGTCTTTCCCCAATACAGTAACATTCTTAACTCCAGTTTTCCATATGGGGGACAGAAAGATTGTTCACTCTGGTTCTAAATCACTCATTAATCTTAACCTTTATTTCTCTTATAAATTTAGAACTATATTTGACTCTTTTGCTTTGCAATCATCCACATCTAGTGAAACAATGTTAAATCTAGGTTGAAAATCTATTTCTTCCTTGAGTCCATTACCCACAATACTAACATACAACGAATTTCTCCTGTAAACAAAACTTTACATTACCTAGACTTACTTTTTATATTCAAACAAGTTTTCAGGGTTGTCCACATATCTGAAAAATTTCACCCATAACAATCAAAGCCTAATATTTACTGCCCTATAAATACCTCCCTTATCCCTAATCACATGCTTTTGCTCATGTTCTTTTAATCAGTTGACTTGCCTTCGTCTTATTTCTAATCATATTTAGATAATCTTCAAGAAAATGTTACTACTCCATGATATCAAAACCCTTCACATATATCCCACCACCACTTTATTCATTACTTCTTTATAACTTGAAAATAATTATGGTCTAGAAAAAAAAATTTTTAACAAATCTTTTTACAAGCTTACACTGTGTCATAAATATTTCATGAAAAATGCAGACTTTGACAGTAATCCTTTCTCATAAAGGAATACTTTATTGGTTATCGCCTTTGTACTCTTCTGAGTTTACATTAACACTGCATATCATAGATAGGTAGTGTTTGTTAGAATCCAACCATTTGAATCAGAATGTACAGAACCATGGCCTGAGCAAGTACTTCTGAAAGGACTTATCAGTACATACTTTATGAATGGAGGAAAAAGAGATCTCCCCTGTACAGCTCCATAAACAGAAAATGAAGCAACTACTGACTACTTAAAATGTTGTATACTATGGCAAAGAAGATACAGAGGATCTTATCTTTGAAAGAAAGAATCCTTAAGCATAAACAATGTACAATCAAGTATCAAATTATATAACATCCAAGAGCTGTGTGTGTTACAGTTAGTAAGCAGCATGGAAATTCAGGAAAAGGAAAGGTGGATATGTTGGGGAGTAGTCAAGGAATAGAAAGGAGAAGAAATCTCAAGACTTCAAAGATATACACTATACAGAAGGGTGAGCACAATGAAGAGTACAGACATCATGACAGACCCTACATGTATAGAGAACATTTAGGAGACTAGATAAAGTGGAAATTAGCAAGCATTTTCCACAAAAGAGAGAAATAAAGTTGAAAAGACCAGATGAGGGCTTATTATAGTAGTCCTTGCATGAACGAGAATTTCAATTTCCTATAATAATAAGTAGTGGGGAACAAGTGATGATATAGCTTGTCAGGAAAGTTAACAATATAAATTGAAAAAATTAGGACAAAAATTATAGCAAAAACAAATTGTAATTACCATATGCAAGACATTAAATAAGGTAGTCGTCATTTTGTATGTGAGTAAAAAATGAAAATATGGGAGGATATAAATATATTTCACGGGCTGATAAACACAAATTGTGAAGAGATCCACAAGAGATTATGACAGAGACAATCAAGCTGGTATCATGGCAGTAATAAAATAATTTGGAAATAGTTAAATGGGAATGAATTTAAGAGCTAGGAAAGTTGGTGATTTTCATTTTCAACTTATTGTCACAAAAGGGGTGAGGCATCATAGTGCAGAACTTGTGAAGGACTGGAGTGAAGGTGGGAGGACTGTGCCGAGTATGTTGGTATTAGAGGTTCTCCACATAAAACAAGGAGCTTAAGTTCTGAGCGTGGATGAGACTAATATAATTGAAAGGTAGATCTCTTGAGGACAAATTAGAGAAATAAGACTGAGAGTCCAATGAAATAATATACCTTAAAAAAAAAAGTTCTGTGACTATTATGTATGAGGCACTGTTCCAGTCAATATGGCCAGAGTGGTAAAAAAAAAAAAACAAAGTAAGTTGGAAATAAAAAATCACTTAGAGAATCAGGATAAGAAGGATTCAGTGTTTTACCCAAACCAAGGGATGATTTCAGGAAAGATGATCAGCCATATAACAATGAAAGTTTAATGGAAGAAAATGGTAACTATGGAATTATCAGTCTGGGCCAAGGTGAGTGAGCTTTAAAATTAATAGCTAGACTCTTGGTGAGAATGGGAACTTAGAGTTAGCATAGCAAACAAATCTGAAATACTATAAAAGAAGGGGAAAGAAAAAGCAACTAAGAAGAGAAATATTAGCCAAGAATTTTTTCTTTCTTAAAGATAGATTTAAAAATGCCTAAAAGAAATCTATTCAATGGCTAAAAGATAAGGGACCGAGAAAGCTAAAAAAGGATACAAATCAAGAAAAAAGATCTATAAGAAGGAAGGAAAAAGATCTAAAAGAAGGAAGGCTTAATTTTGATTAAGAGTGGCAACTATCTTTGATAATACCAAGCAAACTAAGGAAGTCTATTATATAGGGAGAGTGACATTTGAAAGTGATTTAATTTTTTTGCAGGCACAATAGTCATTTCAATGGTTAGGAACCTTTAAAAAGACACTACCAAAATATTTCAAAGGTGTCACCCAACACAAGACCACTTTAAATTTATTTTCCACAGATTTCATCTGCCTGCAAGTCAGAAACTCACCTAAACAGGTATGACCTGTAAATGATGTCCATGGCTCTTCTCCTCGTTCCAACTTGAGGATCACGTCAGGCTTGGTCATGTGACACCCTGATTAAGGGAAGATTTGGATTAAGTTGCTTAGGCGTCAATACCTTTGAAAAATCAATAAGGTGAATTTTCAGTACTGCAAATTAAGATACTCCTTTGTGTAACAGTAAATTTAACACCTTGCACTATGCAAGTGAAGACACAATAACCCTTTCTGTCAACCAAAAAGAATGCATCACCTCTTATCCCTGAAATCAAGATCACACATATTTTAGGCATCTTGAAAGGAAATGCACGCTACTGAAAGTTTCAAAGAGAGTTTTTCTTACCCACAGAAACGAGGTGGCAATAGTTTTCCAACATCACATCCATGTATAGCATCTTCTGAGCAGGATCCAGGTGCTGCCACTCCTCCTGACTAAAGTCCACAGTCACATCTTTGAATGACACTGATCCCTGTAATGGTTTGGGACTGTGATCAGAACAAATTGACGAGAAATTGGAGACTAGTTTTGATCCTGTTCCTTTGTGGCATTCTTATGAAAACTTGTAAAGAATGCCTACCATTTTTCTTGTTTTGTGATTTAAATAGGGAAACAAAAATCAAGGTAGAAGTACTTGCCACCAAATTTATTTAATAACTCATTCTAAAAATGTTTATTGTGAAGTCACTTTGTAACCCCAAATTGGACTCGTTTACTAGGGTGCCAAGATATACAAAATGCTGTCCCTGTTCACAAGAAGTTACAACCTCAAAGCATGTAACACATACCTTCAAGAAAGTATGTGTCAACACAAATCTACAAGAAGGTGTTATGGGTACTGTAACAGAAGTATGTACAAGATAACAATGTATTACAAGGGCAGAACAATTTTTCAGGCTTCACTGAGGAGGTAAATTTTTTCCTCTTCAAGATTAATGTGTTATGCAGGAAAAATATAGTTTTAAAATGCATGGGAGTGACTTTGGGCATCCAGTAATAATAGAGTGAATTGGTCAAGCAAAAATTGGAGGAGAGTTTAATCCTTAAAAGGCAAGCAATGAGTAAGAATTGTTAGGTTTGTGGCTTTTTTTTTTTTCCTTCTGCATTATGTGGGCCTCTCACTGTTGTGGCCTCTCCTGTTGCAGAGCACAGGCTCCGGACGCGCAGGCTCAGCGGCCATGGCTCACGGGCCCAGCCACTCCGCGGCATGTGGGATCTTCCCGAATTGGGGCAGGAACCCGTGTCCCCTGCATCGGCAGGTGGACTCTCAACCACTGCGCCACCAGGGAAGCCCGGTTTGTGGCTTTTTTGCATGAAGGTACCCCAAAGCCCATAGCTCTTCAGGTGAAGAGCTTCCTCAAAGGTGACAGGGGACAGAATTGAGGGCTGGCAGATGAGCTGGAGATTTAGCGATAAATTCTGGAAGTGAGAGAACTACAGGAAAAATGAGACCCCAAATCTGAGTATAAACTCTGCCATAACTCCAGGTTGATAGTTAAACTAAGCAATTGTTAGAGAGATAACAGGAGGCTTAGCAAAGAGCAAACAGAAAGACACCAGCAAAGAGTTTTGAAAAACAGAAGTGTACCTAGTGAGATTTGGAGATTTCTGCATTTTTGATTAACAGCATTCCACAACCTGCTCATAGCTTAAGCAGAAGAAAACTGAAGCCTTAATGGACTGAGGTGTCAGAAGCTGGAGTTAACAAAAAGCAGCAGGAAGTATAAGGGGTGAAACACTGAAAGAAAGAGAATGTAGAAAGTCAGGCCCCAAATCTAAGTATAAATATATACCAAATTCTTTGAGAGCTAAAGTACATGAACACAGTGGGAATCTACCTCCCATCATGGGACCAGGGTAAAAAGCAGCAGGTGGGAGCTTAAGGGACCTAGCTATCAGCTGCTTCACACTTGGGGTGGAGGTGGAGGGGCAGGGAGGGCAGAGTTTGAAGTTTGATTCCAAGCAAGTTAATTGTCTGCTAGAACAACAACAAAAAACAATAATCCTCAGAAAAACAGACATACAGGATTCAGATTACTATAATATATTACTCATGACGTTCTGGTTTCTAGCAAAAATTAGACATGTAAACAAAACAAAACAGAAAAAGAAGAGAGGGAATATGACCCATATTCAGAAAAAGTTCATGGAAACTAATTCCTAGTGGACCCAGGTATTGGATTTTGCCCCAAAGCCTTCAAAACAGCTGTTCTAAATGTATCTAAAGAAGTAATGAAAAACCTGGCATGGAATCTTGAAACATAAACTGCTAAAAAAGCACGAAGTGAAAATTCTACAGTACAGTAACTGAAATGAAAATTTCACTATGTAGGTAGCAGACTAGAAATAGAAAAAGGAGCAATCAGTAACCTTGTAAATACAGGCATACCTCAGAGATATTGCAGATTCAGTTCTAGACCACTGTAATAAAACGATTATTGCAATAAAGTGAGTTGCACGAATTTTTTGGTTACCCAGTGCATATAAAAGTTACATTTACATTCTACTGTAGTCTATTAAATGCAATGACATTATGTCTAAAAAACAATGAATATGCCTTAATTAAAAAATACTTTATGGCTAAAATGTGCTAATCATCACCAGAGCTTTTAGTGAGTTGTAATCTTTTTGCAATACTAACATCAAAGATCACTGATCACAGACGATAACAAATATAACGAAAAAGTTTGAAATACTGAAGAATAGACAATGTGACAGAAATGAAGTGAGCAAATGCTGTTGGAAAAATGGCACCAATAGACTTGCGTTAAACTCAGCATTGCCACAAACCTTCAATTTGTAAAAGATGAAATATCTGCAAAGTGAAATAAAAGCATAATCAAATTAGGTATGCCTATATATAACTAGATCAACAGAAATTAATCAATCTGAATAGAAAAGGAAAGAAAAAGAAAAAAATGAATAGACCCACAGAGAGCAGTGGGTCAATTTCAAAGTAATCCAACAGAGGTGTAATTGCAGTCCCAGAAAAATAGGGGGAAAAAAAAGGGTCTGAATAATTTTTAAGGAAATAATGGCCTAACACATTCAAAGTAAGAAAAACTTAACTTACATACTGAAAAAGCTTAATGAACCCCAAAAGGATAAAAACAAAAGAAAACCACACTCAGTAAATCCTAATCAAACTGCTAAAAGCCAAAGAGAACATCAACCAAGAATCCCATACTGAGCAAAATTACTTATTGAAAATAAAGTCAACATAAAGCTACTTTCAGAAGAAATCTGAGAGAATTCATCAATAGCAAAACTGTACTATCAAAAATGGTAAAGAAAGGTTTTCAGGCTGAAGGTAAAAATGACATCAGATGGTAAACAAGGTCTTTAGGAAAGAATGAAGAGGTTGAGAAAAATTGTATATAAAGACTATAAATACTCATTTCCTTCCTTATTTAAAAAACATGAGTGTTTCAAGCAGGGGTTGGTGAACACTTTCTGCTGTTTTAGTATGAACGCAACCATGGACAGTATATAAAATGAATGAGCAAAGTTGGGTTTCAATAAAACTTCATGTATGGACACTGAGATTTAAATTTCATAAGTTATGTAGGTGAGAAATATTTTGATTATGTAGGTCAGAAATATTTTGATTTTGCACTTTTTCAAACATTTAAAGTATAACTATTTTAAACTCACAATCTGTACAAAAACGCATAGCAGACTGTTTTTAGCCTCTGGGCTGTAGACCCTTGGTTTAAAGTAGGCATTCTAACACCATTTATTACAAATATAAATATCACACACATGGTGAACAAAAAAACAAACCATGGGGAAGCCAATAAATGAAAATACAGTGTTGCAAGTTGACATATTTTACCTTAAGTAATTCAGTACTATCTCTAAGTAAAACATGATTAAGTTAAAGATGCACACTGTAATCCCTAAAGCAACCAAAAAAAATAATGCAAACTGATATAACTACAGACTCAAAAGAGAAATAAAAATTAATTATGAAAATGTACTGCTTGACACAAAATAAAACAGGATATAGGAACAGATGCACAAAAACAGGTTAGGAGTAATTTTTTTTTTTTCTTTTTGGTACGCAGGTCTCTCACTGTTGTGGCCTCTCCCATTGCGGAGCACAGGCTCCGGACGCACAGGCTCAGTGGCCATGACTCACGGGCCCAGCTGCTCCATGGCATGTGGGATCTTCCCGGACCGGGACACAAACCCATGTCCCCTGCATCGGCAGGCGGACTCTCAACCACTGCGCCACCAGGGAAGCCCAGGAGTAATTTTAAATGCATATTATTAAATGTAAGAAGCCCAATCTGAAAAGGCTACATAATATATGATTTTAACTATATAACATTCTGGAAAAGGCAAAACTATGGAGATGATAGATCAGTGGTGGGACTTCCCTGGTGGTGCAGTGGTTAAGAATCTGCCTGCCAATGCAGGGGACATGGGTTCGAGCCCTGGTCTGGGAAGATCACACATGCCGTGCAGCAACTAAGCCCGTGCACCACAACTACTGAGCCCGTGCACCACAACTACTGAAGCCCACGCACCTAGAGCCTGTGCTCTGCAACAAGAGAAGCCACCGCAATGAGAAGCCCATGCACCGCAACAAAGAGTTGCCCCTGCTTGCTGCAACTAGAGAAAGCCTGAGCTCAGCAACGAAGACCCAATGCAGCCAAAAATTAAAATAAAATAAAAAAAAAAATTTTTTTTAAATCAGTGGTTGCCATTGCCACATATTATAGAGGAGAGGGAGAGATGAATAGGCAGAGCACAGAGGATTTTTAGAGCAGTGAAATTAGTCTGTATAATACTATAATGGTAGATACATGTCACTATATATTTGTCAAAATCCATAGAATATATAACACCAAGAATGAACCCTAATGTAAACTATGGACTTTGGATGATAATGATGTATCATTGTAGGTTCATTGATTTCAACAACATACCACTCTGGTGTAAGATATTGATAGTACGGAAAGCTATGCATGTGTCAGGGGGTAAGGGCATAAATGGAAACTCTCTGTACTTTCTGCTTAATTTTGTCTGAACCTAAAACTGCACTAAAATATAAAGTATGGTTAAAAGATTAAAATAAAACAGGCTAGGTAATCAGAAAACAAAGAGTGAAATGGCAGCCCTAACTCCAAAAGGACTAAACACTCCAACAAAAAGACTGAGATTATTAAAGTGTGTAAAAAACCAAGACTCAAAATATATTGTCTTCAAGAGACATACTTTAAATACCATAGACACAAATAGGTTTAAAATAAAAGGATGGGAAAAAAACATAAAAACATTAAACATGGGAAAGCTGATGGGGCTATAGTAAAAGATGCTGAGGAGTATTACCACTACAGACAAAAAAGAACATTTCCTGATAATAAAAGAGTAAACACATGAGAAAAATATAACAACTACAAATGTATATGTACTTATATAACAGTTTCAAAACATGAGGCAAAAATTGACAAAAGTAAAATGAGA